TTTTAAACTCTTCTTAAGTGAAGTGTGTGAGTTAATTCATTTACTACGCCTAACCAGGTTGCTTACTCCAACTATTTATACCCAGTAGAGTAAAAATCGGTTATAGAGATCACACTTTTAAGGAAATCTTGGTTATTAGGAAATTTTTATGCATCCCCCCAGTAGACTTTGCACTGTTTCTTTTATAGATATATAGAATCTGTTGTTCTAGTGACTTCATTATACCCAAGATTTTAAAAATGTATTTGTAGTTTTGAATTACATTTTAAGTGCTTTAATCCCTCTATAATTGATAATAATTATAATAGGTGTTCCTATCTTAATAATCTTATTTTTAGGTCACCTGAGTCACTCAGGTGACATTTTTAGGGCTTTTCGCTTTCAGGCGAAAAGCCCTATTGTTTTCGTCTTTTTTATTATTATTATTATTATTATTATTATTATACTGAACACTTTTTTCGTTCAGCATTTGAGGAGTACCTTTAAAAATAGGATTTTTTTCTTATAACCACTAAATAGGAAATGTAAATATCTCGCGTATGTAACGTGTTGAACTTCCGGTTTAGTCATTTCCGGTATCTACTAAAGAAAAACTAAAATACCTAAAGAAGCTCAAATCTTTCTCATTTTGAATGTCTAGACTATCAAATTCAAGATATAAATTCTAAAGACCAATACCTACAAAAAAGTTAGCGAGGGTGATTTCCGACCACTGATACTTTCTGAGATATAAGACTTCAAACATTGAAAAAGGGGGGATGAAATTTTTAAAAGTCAAAATTAAGGTTTGAAAATTATTTTGAGCATTGAAATACGTTAAGACTAATATGTTGAACATATACTGTAAGTTTCATATCGATCCGAGCCGAACTTCCGGTTTTAGGGGTCTTTGAAAATTGTCTATGGGAGTTTCTATGTTAAATTGAAATCAGTCGTGGCACGTTTTCTCTTAAAATAATCATGATATTCTTGTGAGATTTTAAGTGTAGAATGACCTTGATAAGGTGCCGACCTCATTAGGACATTGAAAGATAATTCGGGAAAATAAGGGATTTCTAGGGGCCAACATTGAAAACAGACTTTTTCCTGTAACTTTTTTATTTCTCAATGAATTTTTAAACTGTTTTCTATTCTGGGTTGAGATTAAAGAAAGCAATCTAAAAAATATTGTCCGTGGGGTCACTTTTTGACCCCTTATAGGAGTTACAGAAGACTGAAATAATGTAATTTTTATTTATTTCAAAAATAATAGAGTGAGAGTTATCTCCCTTTGAACATCAATTAACAGGCTTACATACTCTTTAGGTTTGAAGTTTGGTCTGCATATGACAAGTACTTCCGGTTTTATGAATGTCTAAATTTGCCTATGGGAGTTCTCATGTTCAATGGAAAATTGCACATTTCACTATATCTCTTAAAGTAATGAAGATATTCTTGTGAAAATTTAGTGATATAATGACTGTGATATTGTTTCAACCCCTTAAGGGTTTGAAAATGAATTTCTAGAAAACAAGGGATTTCTAGGGGCCAAAGTTGAAAACTGACTTTTGCCCATAACTTTTTTAATTCTTAATGAATTTTTGAACAGTTTTCTATTCTGGGTTTAGCTTAAAGAGTACAATCTAAAAATTATGGTCCGTGGGGTCACTTTTTGACCCCTTATAGGAGTTACAAAGGACCGAAATAATGAAATTTTTATTTATTTCAAATGTGATGAAGTAAGAATTATCTCCCTTTGCACATCTGTTGACAGGCTTACATACTCTTTAGGTTTCAAGTTTGGTATGTATATGACAAGTATTTCCGATTTTATGAATCTCTGAATTTGTGTATGGGAGTTCCCATGTTAAATGGAAAAGTGCACATGTCACGATATCTCCTAAACTAAATAAGATATTCTTGTGAAAAATGAGTGATACAATGACTTAAATATTGTTTCAACCCCATTAGGGTCTGAAAAATAAAATTCTGAAAAATAAGGGATTTCAAGGGGTAATATTGAAAATTGATTTTCCAGTGTAACTATTTTATTTCTCAATATATTTTTGAACAGTATTCGATCCTGAGTTCAGGATAAAAGGGACAATTTAGAAATTATGGTCCGTGGGGACACTTTTTGACCCCTTATAGGTGTCTTAGAGACCTGAAATTAACTAACTTTTAGTAATTTCAAAAATAACAATGTAAGAGTTATCCCCCTTTTGCAGAGCTCTAGTGAGAATTACATACTCTTTAGGTTTCCATTTTTATAAGCTTCTGAAGTCTTGATCCGGTTTGATTATTTTTTTTATGTTTTTCATTTTGTTAGAGTTATCGCTCTTTAAGGTACTTGAGATTTCAAAGCATCAAAAAGCCCTCCATTTTTGTTGAACGACGAAAAGGTCTAGTTTTATCTGTTTTCATCTGTTGTCATGTTTTAACATTTAAACATTTTCAGCTTCTTCTCTGGGTCGCTGAACCAAATTCAACCAATTTTGGCATATAGAATTTATAGGTGAAGGGGAACTAAAATTACTAAATTCATGTCCCCTGCCCCCCTGGGGCCTGAGGGGTGAGGCTAAAACCATAAGAATTAATCCAATCCTTCAAAATCTTCTTTACTCCTGGACATCAAGTAGTTAAATGTTGGCATGATTGTAGTAATTAGCATTGAGCCCTCTTACCAAGACTGTTAAAGTCATGGTCCCAGAATCAGGGGTTCTGGAGTTAGGGCAGGGCTCTAATGACATATAGTGAAAATGCAAAAGCTTCTCTCCCCTGTATATTTAGTAAACTAAATACATGGTTATGATGAGGTAGGGTGCCTCTTCTGAAACTCTGAATTTCACAGCCCCTGTGGGATTTTGGTGTTGGGGTGGGGCTTTATTGATTAAATGCCTTATTTCTTTGAAAGTCTTCTTCTCTGCTCCTGGGTTCTAAGCAAACGAACAAAGTGCATGGTTATGATGAACAAGGGTGTCTCTTCCAAAATTTTGAATTTCATGGCCCCTGAGTCAGAGGTTCCATGTGGGGGGGGGGGGTTATTTATGATATACTGAAAATAAATTAATGCTTTGATAATCTTATCCTCTGCCCCGTGCTATTAATTAAACAAATTAAATACATAGTTATGATGAGAAAAGGTGCCTCTTCCAAAAATATGAATTTGATGGCCCCTGGGTCAGGGGTTCTTGCGCTTGGGTGGGGCTCTATTGATTAGCAAAAATACATTAATGCGTTGAAAATCTTTTCCTCTGCCCCAGAGTACTAAGCAAACTGAAATGAACTAAATGCAATAATATCAATGTTAATGTATTAAATATAATTATAAGATAATGTGCCTTTTCTTTGCATCTATGCATCATTGGCTATCTAGGAGGCAAACAGAGTACACAATGGTGATAAGTGAAGCAAATGAGAGTTACTCCCCTTTGCTAAATGTTTTTAATCCAGAAATCCTTGTATATAATTTAATTAACAGGTTGTATGATTGAATGAGAATACAAGAAAGAATGTTATAAATATAGAAACAAAATAAAAATGAATGTTTGGTTGAAATGAGCAAAGCATGCTAAAAGGCAGATTCTTGCCTGGAAAGCAGTATAAAAAATTGACATAAAGATGATTTATATATTTAGCAAAAATTATGATTGTACACAGTATGTTTACACAGTGGTGATCTAAGTTAATGTCACTGGTAGAAGAGTCTTAGTTGACAAGAGACTGGATATTAGCTGCTTTATCAAAGTGAACAAAAAAATCACAGAGCAAGGATGACTTATTGTAATTAGTGACAATTGGTAAATAGCCACATAAATGTATACCCAAATCTGTGTGTACTGAATTGTAGCACTAGGCAAGTGACAAAAATATACACCTGTATTTGTATATATTGAATAGCTTACACAATAGGCAAGCATCCATTGTATTTGTATATTTTGCATTCATTATCATCCCTGTAACACTTGGGAAAACCAAGTATGATCCCAAGGAGATCACTCAGGTCTAGCACGTTACAATAAACAAGGGTATTTTTAACAGATTTTTGAAATTCTTGGGCAACATTGCTTTGTCTATCAGTTAATTTTGTTTTATACTTCTGTGGATCCTTTACAGTGTTGTATTATACTCAGGTGACCGTTGAGGCCCTTGGGCCTATTGTCTAGATGAGTTACTAGTTTAAAACATTTAAGTCCATTCAAAAGTAACTGCAAGCCCTATCAGACCAAAATTGCATAAATGTTGCATTGAAGGATGCACACTATAAATTATTAGTTTTGGGTGGGACCTTAACTTACTTAAAGACAACATTCTTTGAAGTGAGCTCTGTAATCTCTGATTACCTGTCTTTTTATTTATACTTGAACTTCAGTGGATCCTTTACAGTGTTGTATTATACTCAGGTGACCGTTAAAGCCCTTTTGACCTCTTGTGTTATTGGTACATTCAAATGTGTCAATGGACCCCCACTCTCATATACATACATACAGGCTTGAGTTCAATATTTAGGAATTATATCTTGGGCTTACTGTCCACATTTTTTAAGCACATCATGCAGTACTTTTTAACTTCGCTTTAGGCAGGCATATCTGTACAGTAAATTTAAAAACTGCATGTTCTTGCGTAATTTGGCAAGTCTGGTATTTAATGGATATCAAATAACTACCTTTTGATTATTTATGCAACAAAGAAACAAATAAAACAAGAAATGCAGGAAAACCTACCTGTTTACATGACATAATAAAATGTAAACATTAGACAGACTTCACCCATGGTACAGATTTAATCACACTGAATTTGCGTTCTCTTAATATGATGGATCTATGTAATAGAAAAGAGACTCCGTAGATTTAAGGCCAATAGGTAAAAGTTTGGGGTCATTCATTTTCTTTTTCTTTTTTCTGATCTTTCACATTCTTTTTTTGTCCTTAGGCAGGGACCAAAAAAACACCTCTTGAATTAGCTTGTACTCTCACACGATGATGCAATTAGCTAAAATTTATAATCTGTTAATTCTTAAGGACTTGGAAAATGAAAAAAACCCTCAGCTAGAGGAAGTACCAATAGACGATATTCTGGAAATGCAGCGTGAAGAACAAATGCAGAAACAGCAGGAAGAGGAACGCAAAAAGAAGTCCATGTTGGAGCGTGGACTACAGCCTCATTCTGATCTTCATGATGACCTTTTCTGAAGTTCATGTGCAGAAACTATAAAAAGAGATCCTTCTACATGTGGTTAGAACTATGAATGACATTTTCATACCAGCTTTGAAATGTCAAGTTTAAAAACTTTATATGTAACTATAATAAAAATTTTGTTTTTCTACATGCTTGTATGCATCATCTCACATTTCTATTTGTGAATTGTTTAAAATCTCAATCAAGTCACATCAATATTTTGTTGTTATTTCCAGGTGAAAATGTTATTACAAGGTGTAAATTCAGTGAAAGATGTTCATAGCAAAGTTATGCTGTGAAAAAAAAAATATCTAATTATCTAATTACAATGTAATGGATATTATTATGAGGATTTTTTTTTGTGTGAATGATTATGTCTATAGCAGAATTTAAGAATTTTGGTCAGAGACAAGTATCAAACAGTTAGCTCTTCTGAGCAGGAGGGTCAAAGAGCTATCATGCTATGGCTATTTGTGCAGTGTGCGTAAATTATTGGAATGTGGCTCATATCTCAAAAACCCCTTCAGAGATATTTGGGCCAAGGCTTTCATTTCTATTAGAAATAGAAATATAACCCTTAAACAAAGGGAAATAATCAGGACAATATAAAATATGAGTTCAGATCACCCATTGTGTCCTTCCCTCTGTAAACCTTGTACAGTTTCGACTTCTGCTCAAGACCCACTGGGCCAATTTTAACTAGTCTTGTTTAAATAAAAGACCAAGCCCCGTTCCAAGGGGAGATAATTAAAGGCAAAAATAGGATGAGGTCCTTTAAAAATCTTCTTAAAAAGTGCCAGGCCAGAAAAGGTGACTCTTAATTGGAAGCTTCCAAAGTAGTGTAGATTCTAAATTAATCAAGTCATGACCCCCCTGGGGGCAAGGCATGGCTAATATAGGGACAACAGTTACAGTGAGATATATGAGATAAATCTTTTTAAAAATCTTATTCTCATAAACCCCTGGATGAAACTAATGTGAAAATTTCCCGAGGTAGTGTAAATTCCAAATTGTTCAAATCATGATCCCTGGATAGGAAATAAATAGGAAAATCTTGTCAAGATCCACTGACACAGAAAAGATGAAACTTATGTGAAAGCTTCCAGACATAAAGTAGATTCTAAATTGTTCAACTACTGGACACTGGGGGAGGGGCTACAATAAGGGATCAAAGTTTTACATCAAAATATGTAGGAAAAATCTCAAGAACCACTGGAATGGAAAAGAGGAAAGTTGTGATAGCTTCCTGGGGTAGTTTAGAATTAAAACTGTTCAACTCAAAGTTCAAAAGTTTTGCATGGAACTCTATAAGAAAAAAAGAATAAAAAATCTTTTAAAGAAACACTGGAACTATTTATTTGCAAAATTTTAATATTCCCAAGTGTGGGTTTAATTTTTTTCCCTTCAAATTATGGACCCTAGGTTAGAGTCTCCTAAAATCAGGATCAAATTTTATTCCATGCTTATATATACATGTACAAGAAAAGAATTTTCTTCTCCATAACTGCAAGGCAGTGTTTTAATTAGTCATACATGCATTGAAATTGAAGCATCCGTATGGTGGTTTCAAAGATTCCTATATTTAGGATGAGGCCATAATATGGGGTCAGAATTTTTCATGGAAATGTAAAAATCTGGAAAAGAACAGCAGGGTGAACGGAAAGGAAGAAAATCTTCTCAAGAAAAATGGGGAGTATTTCACCAGACTTACATATAAGGATGAGAATGTTTGATGAATATAAGATTGTTCAAGGCATCACCTTAGAGCAAAGGCCGTGGTCTCAAGGTCACCTCAAAATTTAAATGAAAAATTTAAATGATGTTTTGTTAAAAGTTTGGAATTTCTCCCACTATAAAGGTTAGGAGTATAAAATCTTCTCATTTGATGCATCGTAGGATCTCCAGATATGTTTCATATAATTATGAAATTTGTGGCCCCAGAATCAGGGGTTCATGTGGGGGGGGGGGGGGTTCTCTTAAATATATAGTGGAAATGCATTATGTTTTTCTGAAAATCTTCTCTGCCCCTGGGTATTCAACAGAAAAAAGCTAATTGCATGGTTATGATCATGATGAGCAAGGATGTGTTTTCAAAAAGTTTGAAATTCATAATCCGGGGTCATGGGTTTTGGTGTTAGGGTGAGGCTCTTTTGAATATATAGTTGAAATTAATGCATAATTTCTTTGAAAATCTTCTTCTCTGTCCATTGTTATAAAAGTGCATGGTTATGATGAGCAAGAGTGCCTTTTCCAAAATTTTGAATATCTTGGCCCGTGGGTCAGGGGCTCTGGTATTAGGGTGGGGCTATATTGAATCTATAGTGAGAATGGATTATTTCTTTGAAAATCTTCTTCTCTGCTCCTGGGCATCTAGGAGGCAAACAGAGTATATAATGTTATAATAAGCAAGGGTGTTTATACCAGATTTTGAAATTGTGTACCCTTTGATTTATTAATTTCTACTGATTAAAGTTATTCCCCTTTGCTATTCACCCATGATAGTTAATCACTGTAAAAAAAAACTTATAAGGTCAATTGAATAATAGAATGATATAAGAATGTTTATAATATTTAATACAAAAGTACTTTCATACTTTTGAATGGTCGGAAAGACTTTTAAATAATAGATAATGAAAATGGGACAAAAATGCCATATCTTTGTGCATTAAATAATTATCAAAGACTAAGAGAGGCCAATGCGAGAGGGGAATGAAATGATAACTAATAGTGCTCTAGAATTATTGCTTTATTTAGTCTGCATGAGGATAGTGAGAAATGGGGGAAAGTACAGGCAAATAAATAGATCAACTTTAAGATTTGTTACTGAGTACTAAATTAATATTTTGCTGATCCCTGATCATCCTATTTCTCTTGCTTTTGGACAACATAGCTTTATTTATCAGCTTATTCTGTTTTAATCAATGGATTGTTACATCATACTATATAGTACTCAGGTGACCGTTAAGGCCCTTTAGATCTACTGGTCAGAGACCAAAAAAGCTAATGCGATAGTAAGGTGTCTGTCGTCCATCCACCTGTCTGTAAACAATTTTTCAAAATGGTACTCCTATATTCTGGTCTAAGTTCAGTATATCTTGGCATACACAAAGGCCCACTTCGACTGGAACTAGAGTAAGTGCCCGAGTTACTCGAGTAACAGCCGAACAGGTAGAGTTGCGACTATAGTAACGTCATTTTAACTTTGAACTCTACCGTAGTACGACCCACGTCTTGGCCTGGGTTAGTAGAGTTTCAAGATGGCGGCGACTGGAAAAAACGTGGACTTGTAAGTATAAACAATTTGGAATATCAGAGGTTCTATTATAAAAAGCTGATAATAAAGAATGTAGAAAGATAACTAAAGTAGCAAATCTTAAACTGCGCGGGTTTCTATTTTTAGTCGAGGGGGATTATTTATGCATGAACAAAATTAATACAAATATGCTGTAATGATAGAATTTATCATTTCTCCACTACAGAATTACCGTTGAATTTACATGGAATGGTATCCAGAAAAAGTGCCAAATGCCCTCTGAATTATTGCAGATGATAAATGATCCTAACTGTGGTAAGATGTTAAAAGTCTAATAGATTTCTTTCCTTCTGTCCATACTGCATAAGTATGTTGGCTTTAATGCATTATTTTTCAGTTTTACTGTAGATTCCTTATTTTTTGCGAGTACTTATTATCGCGAAATGGCTATTTAATGTCAAATCGCGAGAACAGTAATTCGCGAGTGGACAGTTGATCAAGGGATTTTACATTGATTTCAGCACCATAAAAATAAAAGCGAGTAATTTTATTTCCAGAGTGGTGCTTCTTGCGTAATTACGCGATAATTTATTCCTCGCGTATATTTAGAAAACTACAGTTTGTTGAATAAATGGCCTTTATAATTGTTATATGCTAATGATAATTAGTGGGGTGTAAATAATTTTTTTTCTGGGTTGTCTATTTTTACAGATCCAGCAGTGAAAGAATCTTTTATCAAGAACTATTTCAAAAAGACAACAGTACGCCAATGGAAGAATGCAAAGATGAGTCTGAGGCTAATACATCAAATACTTCAAATGAAGCAGAATGTTCTAGTGGAGCTGAAAAGGTACTGCCAAGTTTTATTTATTACGGGCTGAACTGCTACATTTATGAAGAAAAAAATCTAAATATTTACTGAGGTAAAAACCTTGATGACTTATTATCCCTTACAAGTGGTTCTTATCTACCTTCTCGTGGCCTTCTACCTGCCCATCCATTAGATGTTTCTCTGAAGCGTTATCACCATTTTCCTTATGTTCATCCCATGGATTTAATCGCAATGAATGCATGCAAATTGGACCAAATTCATTTTTAACTATAGAAGAATTTTCAGAGATTTTGACCACTAAGCTAGCAGAAGTAGTATCAAGGTAATATTGATAAGAGAGCAATATTAGTTTTATGAAATGAAAAACAAGTGTTTTACTCTGATCAGTTGTATTTTCTATGACCCAAGTAAATGCTATTGTCAAACAGTTTTCATGAACTGGGAGTTCCAATTTTTTATACAATGTAATTATTGTCAAGGATGAGAAACTATTATATTAAAATTTTATAAAGATAGTAACCTCTGATGATTTTCAGAAGTGTTTCTATCTCCCCCAGAAAGAATTTTTTGAAATTATAGACACAACAGAGAATTATAGCCATGATTTTTTAGGGTTGTTCATATGAATTGAAATAGAAGGGAACAAGATAATAGAAGGGTGTCTTGGGTTCCTCCCTTAGTGTGGGTTGAGAGGATGATGATAGAATAAGCAGGGAATTATATCAATATATGTGGGGAAATTCAGTGCCCTCCTCCCAGGTCTTAAGCACAACCTGATTTTCCCACTGCTTTTTTGGCACCTATCAATTGCTCTTTTGGCTTTTACATTTTCGTCAATTTCAGATCCACATCTGGACAGAAGAAGAAGAAAAACTACTAATATCAGCGAGAGAAGATATAGATGATGAATTTCATAAACTAAAAAACCATGAAGTGTTATGGGCAAGAATCACAACAAACATGTATCGCAATGGTGTTAAAGTGACAAGATCTCAAGTAATGAATAAGTGGAAAAATAAAAAAAAAAAAAAAAGAAATATCGCAAAGTTCTTGATGAAAATAACAAAACTGGTAACAAAAGAATAAGATGGAAGCATTTAGATGCTTTCGACAAGATTTTTGGGC